CAGTGTGTGTGGAGTAAGGGAGACACACCTTACCAAGTAAGAGTTACCGCAGTGTGTGTGGAGTAAGGGAGACACACCTTACCAAGTAAGAGTTACCGCAGTGTGTGTGGAGTAAGGGAGACACACCTTACCATGTAAGAGTTACCGCAGTGTGTGTGGAGTAAGGGAGACACACCTTACCATGTAAGAGTTACTGCAGTGTGTGTGGAGTAAGGGAGACACACCTAAAGCTCTACATGAGCACAAGCAGCCTGTAAACACAACAGCAGTCCCCTAACCTACTTTTCCCATATCCGCTCTTACGATATAGATTTTTTATTTTTCGCAGGTGTTCAAACCTCAAGCTGTGACTCCATCCCATCGCCACAACCCCCCCCCGATTATCCCTCCTTTGTAGCTGTTGTGCCTTTGACCACTGCTCAGTTCACCTGGGCCACGTCTGGAATGGCGACGCAGGTGGTAAAGACGGGGATAAATCTGTTCACAGCAAAGCAGCCCCCGAGCCTTGAACCCTCTAGCATCACAAAGAGCCCCCCCCCCCCACCATCGTGCCACGTACCTGCTAGTCGCCCTTGAGACAGTGCCCACTTTAACAGCCTGAACCAATTTTTGAACAAGCCAAGGGGGTCACTGGTACTTGCTCACTGAGCCAGCAGCATAGGATTCTGGGTAACTGGGTCAGTGTGTAACAACATGCTGACCGGTGGCTTTTGTAGAGGTAAACTGGCCACTAAGTAGTGGTGGTCTTGCTAGTTCAGGGGTTACACCTGGTTATATTCGACTATCATCACTAAACAGACCCAGATCTGTATCTGCATCAGTCAGATCATCAGATAATGTTAGATGATCATCTGGACCTGCTGGTGGATGCTAGCCTCTCAGAACGTCGGCTGGCTTCTCTCTTGCTCCCTGGCTTTGGTACTGTTTTCACCTTTTAAGCCCCCTCCCCCCACCCTTTTTTATTCCTTATTCTGAACACTTACTGCATATTTCCATGGCAAGTGATGCAACTTTCTGTCTGACCATGGAACATCTCCTCTCCCTTCCGCTCTCACTTTCTTTCACTGCTTGCATCCCCTCCTCTTCTTCTCCCATGGAACCTCCCTCCCTCCCTCCCTCTGCAGTCCCCTCCATCTTTGCCGATAGACGAGTGGAGCACTGACGTGGACCCGGCTGTGTAAAGCTCTCTCAAACTGTGATTTTTTTTTATTGACGGCTGGTGCCCTCTGCGTCAAGCCGAAGGTCTTTAAACAGCCACGTGGGCTGTAAGCGGCATCCCACCTCCTAGGCTTCCAGGAGAAAGCCATGTTTAATGCTCTCCACAATTTAAGTTTATAAGCCCCCCATGTTTCACAGGAATGGGAGCCCCGGTGCATCTAGAAATGTGAGGAGGGGGCATGACGTAAACCGAAGGGCATGATTTAGAATCCAGACCAGCCAAATCCAGGAGGAAGATTTAAGAATGAAAGATACTTCTTTTCTCTGAATGGGTTTCTGGAGTTTCGTTGAATCCCAAATGAGCTGTGCTCTGGATCACGCTGTTTTCAGCTGTCAAACATTGGCAAAAAATAGAGCCAGTTTTTTAATTTATCGATATCTGCTTTCAGTCTCCAGCCATTCAGGAATATAAAAAGCTGGTTGAGATTATTACCTTTTCGACGTGCAAATTGCAGCAAATGAGAGATCGATGAATGATTCAGAAGTTCACAGAAACCACAGCAACCCGAACAACCAAAAAAGGCCACACTGATTGGTCACTGTAAGTTACACGGAAAGTGTATATGTGTGGGGGAGGGGGGAATTGTGTATATATTACACTGTGGAGACCAAATGTTCCCACAATGTCATAAAAATCTGGTATTTTGGCGGTGTGAGGGCCATTTCTTGGTCCTCACAAGGGGAAACTGAATTTTATTTTAAAAAATCTGCAAAAAAAAAACTAAAAATCAAAAAACTAAAAATGCCAAAAGTTTCATATGTTGTATGGTTACTAATGGTTAAGGTTAGGACTGGGTAGGGGTTAAGGTCGTCATGTTGGGATTAGGGATATGCCAACAGAAATGTTGGATGGTCTCCAACAGGATACGAATACAAGCCTGTGTGTTGGGGGGGGGGGGGGGGAGCTGCAAGATTAAGGTCTGACAGCACTGAAGTGGGAATCTCTCTACTAATCATTCTAAACATGCCAGTTCAACTGAAAAAATTATCTTCCTGCAAAAATGAACTACATAAATAGCCAAAAGTTAAAATAAATAAGAAAACAAGACGAAAAAATTGCTCATCTTCATTTTTATTCTTCTTTGCTTACACAAAAGTGCCGAAGTGCAGTTGGGGGCTTTGTTCTGCACTTATGGACGTCCATCGGCACACTGGGGGGGCAGGGTTATGTAAATGAGGCACGTACCAGAAGATTGCAGACTCGAATTCCAAGGGGCACGGCAGCCCTGCGCCAGGCAGCTCAGCGGAACCGCAACAGTAATTATCGACTTGCGTAAAACGGACGTAAGCGAAGGAAAAACAGGCCGGCGCAGAGGTCTCAGGAGGTAACACCGGCAGCTGAAGGCACAGCACACGCACGCCACGGAGCTCAGAGCGGCCGGGCCCGGCTGCTGGGTATCGGGTTAGCGATGGTCAGTGGAAAGGATCTGCAGCTGGGTTCCTATACTGCCTTTTCTGAAGCTCACGAGCTGGGGGAGGAATCTGCAGCAGACAGGCAGCGAGCTGTCGTCGTGGACGTTCACCGTAGCTACTACACCCCCTAGCGGTGCAGTATCAGAACTCCAGACTCAGCACTTTTCCAGTACAGGTACCAGAGGGACATCAACAAAAAAAGAACACAAGACACACGCAACTAGAAACCTTGAGGCAGCTCTTGCTATAAAATTAAACATAGCAGTTTTGGATGCAGAAGTGACGACTTCGGTCTAGTTAGACAAAAGGTCGGCTCACGATTTATTTATGTGCTAGACTTTCACGTTACTACTATTAACACAGCTATTTCCGTGCACAGCGACGTCGCCACTGCCTCCGGGTTTGGCTTAATTCAGGCGCGTTCCTGAAGGTGAGGAGAACACGTTTAAATTTATTCACATTGTTAGCTCTGTGACGTTTCTTAGCCAAGTTTTTGCTTGAAGTCACAAACCCGGTTGTGGCATTTCTGAAAATCTCAAAGGACGTGTAGAAATGAAAAAGGATACACAAAAAAATCCGCAAGGTCGGCCAGGTCAGTGTTTCTCCACCTGCTCCTCAAGGATCCCCAGCGAGCAACAACATAGACTGTCCTCAAGAACCGGATTGATAAACACTGTGTTAGGTCATTCAGGAGACCTATACCAGTCTTAGCACACTGTGTTAGGTCATTCAGGAGACCTATACCAGTCTTAGCACACTGTGTTAGGTCATTCAGGAGACCTATACCAGTCTTAGCACACTGTGTTAGGTCATTCAGGAGACCTATACCAGTCTTAGCACACAGATTACACGATCACTCAGCATTCATCCAATGCCTGCAGTCTAGACACCAACACTTCAGGAGGTCCTCAGGATGCAGGACATCAAGCCCTGGTGAGATGTTATTGACCCCATCATGTATCTGACCTGTAAACTCCTAATTAGGAGTTGGGCTAATCATGCCCTCTTGTTTAGGACATAGGAGTCACAAAGGGCCAAGTTCGCTCTATGCTACTCATTACCTGACAACCTCCTTTGTATCCAGAATCTGAACAACATGCAACTAGAACAGAAAAGTGACCAGTTTTTGGGAAAATTCACCCATTAAACCCAACGGATCTGAATGTCACCAAATGTCACGTTTGTTCCCAACCGGCTTCAGCCACCGGATGTGTTAACTGCATTAACACACTGCATCACAGCTTCCGTGTCTGTTTTCCTATAAACCCTTGGTGCCATTAAAAAAAGTAAAGAGCAGAACAGATGGCAGAGAAACTCTCAATCGGAAAGTAAAACTGCCGGCTGCCCAGTGAGAGCCGCGCACCAGGAAACCCCACGACAGTCAGACAATCAGAAATACAGACATTACTCGCTGCAAGCTTCCTGCGCCATTAAACTGACAAACATACTTAATCACCCCCCTTTTATTGGGTCGATCTGCTTCACATTTCAGCGAATCCCTGCTGTCACTCTCATCACTGAGAACATCTTCTCAGATAGTGTTTAATACATTATTATAATCTTTAAAGGCTTCAGGAAGAATACATAATATCTAAAACACCGAAATTAGTATTAGCATATTAGCACACAAAGTATTTTCCCGAACAACCCTACTTGAGATAAGAGGTGGGAAGATTGGGGGATGGAGGGAAAAATGTACTATATAAATTATTACAGATTATATAAGCAAATCGCAGCCCAGTGGAAACTGATTCAGAAGGTGGCCCTTTGGTGATCAATGCCCCAAAATGTGGGTCAGAACTGCGGGTTTTTCTCTTTAACCAACTGCATCTCAGCTCTCATCCCTTGGACACAGTGTGGAAACACGAACTATGCTTGGGGCAACGGGGCAACGGGGCACGGGCACGAACACGGGTATGGAGAACGCCGGGGCGTACCCAGAGCCCGCTAGCGTAGACGGTACACAGGTGGATGTCAGTGAAAAGCCTCCGTTAAGAGACGTGAAATGCAAGGTGTCGGCAAGGCTGATGTTTATGACTTATGATGTGGCAACAAAGAAAAAAATGGGGGCAGATGCCCCCCCCCCCACCCGCAGCCACCAAGCCGCAGATAAAAGGGTTCAGCTTTCGGGGCTCACAGCACAAACGAGCGGCTCCGGCGCAGAAGCGGCGTTAATGCCATGGCGACGGGAGAGGCCAAGCGGCGTTAATGCCATGGCGATGGGAGAGGCCAAGCGGCGTTAATGCCATGGCGACGGGAGAGGCCAAGCGGCGTTAATGCCATGGCGACGGGAGAGGCCAAGCGGCGGTAATGCCATGGCGACGGGAGAGGCCAAGCGGCGGTGACGTGTCAGCAGGGACGTGCGAAGTTAGAAGCTTCGCCCACAAATCAATGAAAACGACACCAATCGGTGCCGGCGGCGTCACCACTGAGCTGCAGATGGGGCTCGGGAGAAGCTCGCTGACCCCAATTACGGACGGCGCCGCGCCCCAGCTGAGGTCCGGCTCGGCCGCACGTGGCAGTGCGCATGCCAGGGGGGCCGCGAGTCCGCTCCGGGGGCGGGTCCAGCCCGCCGCCAGCCTCAGCAGATTGAATCAGCGAACATTTCCATTAAAAAAAAATCTTTTCTAAAAGCTTGTATGACGAATGGATGAAGGATGAGGGAGACTGCAAGACAACGGAATAAGAGTCACATTTTGTCACAGGTTCAGTGACTATTACAGGAATGTATTTCAGCTAAGACACCAACATGAGGTGTTTCTATGGACACTGAAGGGCTGAGATTGGGGTGGAGGATTATGGGTAGAACAGACAAAGCTGGTCCAGACTTAAGCATACCGCTGTCCCTATGGCAGGGTGCCTTGCTTTAATCCACCAAGGCTGAGGTTAAGCTTCGTGACAAATATTATGTGATTTATCCAGAGATTACAGCCCCCCAACCCAAACCCCGATGCTCGGGGACAGGGCTCTTTCTGTGAGATGTCTGTCTTGTGTAACAGAAAGGGTGCCGGCTCACCTGTGGCTACGAAACACGTTGAGTAGGACGATGAGGGAGGCCAGGAAGTATAATGCCACATAGGGACCCCCGAAAAGTCTGGACAGCCCCCGGGTCCAGTGTTCCCAGCGGCCCACCTGCGGGAGACAGCAGCCAGGGTCAGAGCTTGCGGGGCCTGGAGACCATAGCATAGTTAGTCCCAACACTGCCTGAAGATCCCTCCACCACACAAGGAGGGTCACTCCAGACGCTTCTCTTGTGTGGCTCCCCAGCGGTCGGATGAGCTACTGAACCACATCCAGCCATCAGACTCTCCACCTTCAAGAACAGCCTCAAGAACCGTCTATTGCAGGAACACCTCTACTAGCCCAATAACGCTCCATGCTTCGTAAATGCTCTTAATGATGTAGTGATTGGAATAATCACTGGAAGCTCAGCCTAGCTGCTCTTACGCCTAGTCGACTCCCTGACTGCTATATGCTGGTAATGAGCTATTTGTCTCACTATGTCGATTTGGACAAAAGTGTCTGATGAATGTAAATGTTACAGACGACACACACACAGCTCCGTAGGTCTCACAGTAAAGTAACGGTGACAATTGGCCTGTAAGCCGGTAGCGGGAGGATTAGGTGGACCGGTGTGGCCTCATTCTCCTCCGAAAACTGAATTAAAGGACAGTCACCTCATTTCAGTGTCAGCTTCTGCCTTCATCAGTAGCTCATCCCACCCCAACGTCCAGTAAGCCTCTCCAGGGAGCAGCTGCTCTCGTCTGCTGTATGTAAGTTCTAAACAAGGCCTGTAAATTGTGCATTCAGAAACGTATTATCCCTTTATCTATCTATCTATCTTAATTACATTCCTTTTTGATGGGTCTCGGAATGATTTTCTCTTCTCCCGTTAGCAGGCAATTAGCCTTCTGCTTATTAATGCGATTATGCAGATGAGACCCATTGAGTAAACGCACAACCTGCTGAGCTCCTGCCAGCTGTGGTCAGGTCAGCTTTGTGTTACAGACGCTGCGTCCCGCACGCACAGCTAGGTGGGAGGGGGGTGGGGGCTTGATGAAGGGGCAGCCAGGGGTCCAGCTGGGCAAACACAGGCCTGTCAGCAGCATCTCGACCTGGAGGCTGTCATCACTGCTGGGCCGCCTTCACACACCCCCATCTCGAGACGTCAGCGTGGGGCAGGGGAGCCGGGATAAACAACGGGAGCGACGCACGGGCACTCACGCGAAGCCAGACCAGGCGGCCACCCTGGCACGCGAGTGGGCGCGGCCAGCTAACGCACGGCGGACCGGCACGCGAACGCAGTCGGGATACACACGTGTGGCCAGGCGCCGCGGAGGGTAAACAGCCCACGTTATTTGGCATAGGATGGACAGAACCAGACATGGACTCACAAGGCGGGTCGAGTCACATGCCCAGCAATTAGGCGAAAGACAGCGGCTAAATGAAAAAGCTCTGCGGAGCACGACTACCTGAAACAGAAACAGAACGGGCGAAGCTTTCATATTACATCCTATTAGAAGGGGGGGGAGGGGGGGGCGCAGTCAACCACCACTGAGAAAGAAATGAGAGATTCCGCTGTGTATTTCTGAATCTCCAGAGGGCTTCTGGGAAAAGGTTTCATTCACTCATGGTGATGCGAATCGGCAAGATAAACCAGCCTCTGGAGGAGACCACTGCCAATCTGCCGCCGGCAACTCACAGCCAGGATCAAACTCATTTTTTTATATATATATATGTGTGTGTGTGTGTGTGTTTGTGTGTGTGTGTGTTTATTTCTCTGAGTGTATATTTGCACAGAAAACACATAATTTAACAAAAATTTCTGCAGATGTTCAGTAACATAAGGACAATAATTAGAATTTCTCATATCCTCCAAAAACTTACCGATATCTCAGTGACTAGAATACAGCTTTGCTTCCTCTCCTCTCTTTATGGGCACCCAGCCACTTCACGGACTTTAGGGAATTCACTACCAGCTCACTTCATAAATTAACTGAATTAGTTGAATAATTGTATTAGGCACTGACCAGCCAAAGACAGTGTGCTACTGCTGCAGTCAGCAAACAGATGGGATGCTGACATTTTTCAGTATATCTGAACATATACACACACACACACACACACACACACACACACACACACTTCTTTCTGTATTTTGCTTAAGGAGTTAACTGCAATTAACCGTACAGAGACAGTTCAGGTTGAGGTGTATCTAAGACCACACTCCTCATCACCTCGTGCTCGGGGTGACAGACCCTGTACTGACACAGCAGGGGCTGGGTTCTGGTTCTCCTTACATACGGCAGGACAAACATCCTCGACGTCTATGAGCCCTAATACAGGCCTGCAGCAGAACCTCCCCAGCACTCCCTGAGCTAAACATCAGCGTCACGAAGGAGGGAAAAAAAAACTAAATGCCAGGAAGTTCGCGTTACAACATCTGGTGTTACTAGGTCACCGCAGCTCTCTTGCGACAAGACGCCGGGCGCCATGAATCATTTCAAATGCTGAACACCATCGCAGGGGAGAGGTGCATTATGGGAAAAACAGAGTACATTCATAGCTGAAGCTCTGGAGCAGGTGAAAAAAAATGTAAGAGTTTGGCATGTGGCACCACTGCATGTACGACCACGATCACATGCTCGTGCATTAGCACGAGAGATTCTGGGGCTTTTCACAAGCAGGACTGTTCACAGAGACAGCTGGCTGGTATACTGCACCCTATCCCCCCCCCCCAAAGCCCCCCATCACAGAGAATCATCAGGGGAGCTCAACAGTACTGAGAATTGTTTATATTGCCCTTAAAAGTTAAAGCTTTATCCCCCCATTAAAACACTTCCAGGCAAAAAACAACATATTCACCTGATATTTCTGGCTAAAAATAATATATGCATAATACATACACAAACAGAAGACAAAGCACAACTTTTGCACCTCTGAATCTCTAAATTTAACCAACTAAGTTTAAAAATCCCAGTCAGCAGAGCGATGTCACTGCTGGGCCCCGGAGAGAGACCCAGAAGCCCCCTGCTGCTCCAGGGACTTACTGATCCTGCTAAGGGCTTCTGCTAAATAAAGAAAATGCAGAAGTATAATAGGTGGGGAGATTTCAGCTTTTCCGAATGGAACTATTAAGGCTCCGGTCATTCCCTGACGCATTCAAATGAAAGCCCCTCCCAGCACACGAGGTCACCTCCTGTCCCCTCCTGTCCCCTCCGGACTGCCCATTAATTGCCAAGAATGTGACTGTTATAGAGTCTTCTTTGAATGTTAAAGATGGAAACATGGATGGATTTGGCTTGCAGGCAGTCTGGTCCGCAGAGGGGTGACTCATGAGCAGTTAATTGGAGCCTGTGTGTGGCGTTTGATTAACTCTTTGTGAAGTCTTTCTGTATCTGTGTGCATGACTGCGTGATGAATCCAAGGCCTTGTGTCTCGTGTGTGTGTGTGTGTGTGGAACACAACTGAATGTGATCACGGCAAGGATGCCAAACACTGTGTGTGTGTGTGTGTGTGTGTAGAACACAACTGAATGTGATCACGGCAAGGATGCCAAACACTGTGTGTATGTGTGTGTGTGTGCCACTTTGCCCATGTGTCAGACCCTGTGCAGACGCACGCAGCCGTGTCTGCAGTGTGCCACATCTCCTTTGCATTCACAAATCACTCGCTTCCCGTTTCCGTCATGGCCGCGCCGCCAGTCCAGGAAGTCACACCTGCAAACTTATGCATATCAAAAAAGATCCAATCAGGTTCCAGGTTCCAGGCCGATTCTCTCAAGTTCAACTTCAGAAGACATCAGAGCAGATTCATCTCCAATAGCTGTCATTTTTGGTTCTTTTTCCATCTAATCATTATCAAAATTTCCCCCAAAGGGCTTTACTTACACAGCAGTTACCCATCATTCCAGTCTTAATACCAACTTATTCAGCACAGGCTGTAAAGAGCTGAAGTTATGATGGGCAGGACGGCAGCGTCTTTGTTAGATAGCAGCATCAGAGGTGCTGGAGACCGGAGCCAGCGACACAGGAACCGGGCCGATCTTACCTAACGTACTTCCTGGAGCGTCCAACAAAAGCTGTCACTGCAAAGGCTTGGTGTGTTTTTAGGACGCGAAAAGGGTACAGTCGAACCTCGATACAACGTACCCCGTTTATAACGTTTACACCAATACAACGTTCAAATTGCAATGTCCCGAATTCGCGTAATGCATTATTCCATTTGCCGGTATGGCTTAGAACGTACACCTTTACAGCGTAAATTTCGATATAACGTATGATTTTCAGAGGAAAATAGGCAAATTGACCTTTGTTACAACGTACAGCCTCATCTTCCGAGCGTGCGCACTATTCAGAATCGGCTGTTGCCGGCCATCTACATCGCTTAGCAACGCCTAACTGTATGAACCTATCCTCACGAAGCATTCCACGCAGGCCGGACTCCTTGCATGCAGCCCCCGTTTTTTCATGGTTTTGCATGGTGTCATGGTATCGAAATTTATTTCAGCCAATTGAATCATATACAGGTGCATAATTTCGGTTTGACATTAGGTTACAGCAAGGCGATTTGAACGATAACGCAAGATCCACTGCCGGCTTATGTCAGCTGTTTATTAGTAACTGATATTAAACTAGTTTGAAGAATATAGTTCCTATTCAGAATAAGAACTATATTCTTCAAACTACACAAGCTGTATGTCATAGTGTCAACTTGAGGGGTGTTTTATAAAAGTTTTTTTACATACATTTTGTGTTCTATCATTCATTTTGAGGGACTTGGTTACAACGTACTATGGTTATAACATACAAATTCTTAATGTCCCCCGAGGTACGTTGTAACGAAGTTCGACTGTATTTGACAGACCTCCAAATAAACAACTGGAAACAGAGGAAGGTGGTGTCCGAGGTGGAAACCCTGCACAGAGAACAGGCTCTCAAACAAGAATTAACTTCACAGGCACAACCTCCAGCAGGGTCACTGATCAGAGGAGCATCACGCGGTCATGCATGCATGCATGCATGCATGCATGTATTTAAAAGGGTCAAAAACATACAACGAAGTGTGAAATTGTGGAAACCAGAGATAGGACAGGAGGAGGAAGGGGGGAAACAACGATAATAAAATCAACT